CCACCCCCACCCCAAGGGAATAAATATCGACAAAACAAATAGTACCGAAGTGGGTTTCCTGTGTATTTCTGCCCGTGAAGAATGATGGGTATAGTAACCGGCTTTCCCTTCGATTGAGTCAATCTTCTCGTTCATTAAGAAAAACGATAAAAATATTCAAAAAACCATGTCAAACGAGAAATTATTACGATGCTACAATAGAGGATGCGGTAAAGAATTTAGAGAAGGCGATGATAGTGAAGGTAGGTGGTAAATCACACTGATATATAATGAGATTAAAGAAAGACTCAACATCACGTAGTACCAGCATGTTTTGTCGCGGTAAACGATAATCACAAGCTTATTAATGTATTACTAACCTTCTTGTTTAGATTGTTCACATCATCCTGGTGCCCCAGTCTTCCATGATGCATTAAAGGTAATGTCTTCCAACTCTATAATACAGTGATCATCTATTGAAGGTTTCTTACCATGGTTTCTAGTACATATATAGATTGGATCTAACTTCGAATCCCTGCAATATAATGTGTAGTTGATATATATTTACCCTAACCTGCGTACTCCTTAATACTTCCAGGGATGGTCCTGTTGCAAAAAAAGAGTCACAGATTTTACAGAATTTCTAAATATTATGGTAAGTTTCAAAATAACTAGATCAATTATGATCCATTCCTGCCAGCAATGTTTGATACACTAATGTGTTGCTGGCTGGCAATATGCAGCAGAGGTAGAATCATGACATCCAGGGTATGATGTAATATGATTCTCTTGATTGTATCACTGCAGAGAATCCTGTTTAGTAGAGAGTTTTAGATTGACTTTTTTTTCTCCCCGCAAACGGCAAACGTGACCACGTTTTCATAGTTTTCCTTTATTTTCCTTTACCATTTACAAACCTTCTCACCAAGCGCAAATACTCTTTTGTTTTTCTACTACTTGAACTTTTTTGCGATTCTTTTTCAGTAATTTAAAAGAATTTTTTACTGGTCAACTGACGTTTCACGTTTGCCGTGAACCTAAATCTAAAACTCTCTAGTATCTGCTTTTTGTTGCAGGAAATTACCCTTGAAAACTCTTTCGTAAGCAACTCATAATAAAAAGTTGCCCCAAGATTTAAAGCCTTTAGATCCATAGAGTCCAAGCAATGATAACAAATAGCCTTTGGTTTGCCTTTTGGCGTGATGAGTAAAGATTATGGTGCCATATGTAGTCACAAATTACATTTGTCTATTGGTAATGTTGACAATGATGAAAGTGCAGGGGTCCTGAAATCAGTCATGGCATGTGGACTGTACTGACATGACAGCTGACAGCGTTGCACATGCCTGCATGTGTAGATGAGGTCAGGATTGTCATGTCAGGATTCTGCTTTTCTGAGTCGTTCATCCAATGATATTTGTAATCAGTTACTGTGGACTGACTATACAATGTAAAGTCTTGTATATCGAGTAAACATTAGTGTTGTAACCTTTTCTCTGTTCCTGTCCAATAAGGGCTGTACTAGGTCTAAACACAGCAATGTAAAGCCGCCAGAACCTGAACCAACCAACAAGGATGAAAAACCACTAGAAAAAGATGAGGCAAGTACATGCTAGGCTTGTTAATGTTGTGTGTAATGAAAATATGCAGCTGTCTCACCTTTACCATCATAGAGTTATTAATCAATCAAACACTACATCAGGTCCAAAATCAAATGTAGTTATATAAAGATTTTTCCTTACTTTTCTCCATAACAGGATTTGCTGTCCAAAGCTTTAATTGTTTCAGGATTGAGTTTAAGTTTAAAAGTTTAAGTTTAAATTTAAGTTTAAGTTTGGGTTTAAGTTTAATTTGGGTTTAAGTTGAAGTTGAAGTTGAAGTTGAAGTTGAAGTTGAAGTTGAAGTTGAAGTTGAAGTTGAAGTTGAAGTTGAAGTTGAAGTTTAAGTTTAAGTTTAAGTTTAAGTTTAAGTTTAAGTTTAAGTTTAAGTTTAATACCCCATTCACACCTAAACGTGTTTAGTTAAACTATGTTTTCATTAGGAAAAAAATTGAGAAACTAGAAACCTGCAATATAATGAAACTTTCTAAAATATTGTCAGAGCAAGACAAAGGATAGTTTACATACATTATTTTACCAAATATTGTGCAGTGTTTGTAGATAGTTTTCCAAACCTGTTTAGTTAAACCACTTTAAAACATGTTTAAGCCTTGGTGTGAATGAGGCATAAGTTTAAGTTTAAGTTTATGTTTATTGAGAACAGTTTTCATTTTTGTGGTGATTTTTATAAGCAGTTGGACCTGAAAATATGTCACAACTTAAAAGCTCTATAGTCATGGGTTTATGCAGTCATCAAAGTTACCAACCATCACACTAGATTAGACTTGTTGTTCTAGTACAAGTTATGGTGCTTTCAAGGTTTTACTCTTCGTTCTCCAGTCTTCCAGTCTACCACGTTTGTTAACCACAGGTTAACTGTTTGAGATTTTCATTATCAAAAAAAAAATTAATTCATTACAGTATTTAAAAATTTTGTGTCTTTTGCTTATTGAATGTGCTTGATATATTGTCATGTAATAGTTATAACAGTACTGCTTGTCATCTCAGGTTATTGAAGTAAGAAAACCAATGAAGAAAAAAGAAGATATGTTACCACGACCGAGGTTTGTTTTAAATAACCACATATTCTGACAGTTATATGCACTTGTAGCAAGCTTGCAAGGCTGCTTTTTAATTCTTTATACACAATAATCAAGAATGCTTTGGCTGTCAAAGGGTTTTAAGTGATTATTTTGATGTTTTGAATATTAATTTTACAGTGATGATATTCCAAAAACCAAGCTTAAAATGACAGTGACTGATTCATTAAGAAAAGCCCTTGAAAAACAGAAACAGCAAGATAAGCAGGAAGACAATGAAGGTAAAGCAAGGTCATCTGTGTCAAGATGTTATTAGATACATAATCTTGAATCATGCATATTCTTTTTGTTTAGTTGCTGATAATGAAACTGATGAAGTTAAGCCTGGTACTGTATGTAAAAATAGTTCTTGTAATCAGGTAATACCATTTAACAAATAAACCCACTTTTTCCGTGCTCTGTACAGTAATATATCATGCAGGAGGTCATGTAACTACAAATGAAGTTTAAGTCATATGAAGTGCTTTGGGTGCTTCCTAAGTGCTATCTTATTATAAACAGAGCATGAAAAAAAATGTGTTTTTGTTTTGTTATAAAGAAAATATCCATTGCCAGTAGTTGTTAATGCTGTTTTCTTACACATCTTTACAACATTTCCTGCAATGGCAAAAACCACAGCAACCATGCTCTGTTTACCGCCATTTGCATTGCTACGTGGCCACCCCAGACAAAAATTGCGATGTGCACTTTGCAATAGACTGCCGTAAATCAAACATGTTGACGTCATACATGCGTTTGGATTGGCCCGGATAGGCCCAGTGAGTGTGGCTCATAATACTAACTTATAAACAATCAACAAGTTTTGGCGCCTTTTGAATCACACACTATGATTGTCCTTGAGTGGTAATCATATAGCTTTTAATATTTTTTGGTATTGAATTTATTTACACAAAAGGAAAAACAGTTGCAGGATCTAGCAGCACTTCATGTGTGCGGATGGCATCTGCAATGTTCTCCGTTCACTAATTAAGTACAGCTTTCCGTCAGTCAAAATGCTCATACTATCCTAACTATATAATAAACCTCTATATAATGATTTGATTAAATTCATAGACTTACGAAAATGAGAGTTCCAATGATGAGAAGTGTTGGTTTCATCCTGGAGCACCGATCTTCCATGAAGGGTAGGTGTCTTTGATGTTTGTGTTCTTAACAGGACACCGGTTATTCAATCAGTTATAAATTTATATGGTTCATTTCAGGTTTAAATTCTGGACTTGCTGTCAAAAAAGAACCTCAGATTTTAGTGAATTTTTGAATCAAGAAGGGTGTACTCCAGGCAGTCATCGCTGGAAACTCACAGATGAGGTACCCAATAGTATTCTCTTTATTTATGGAAATTTCTCTTACTATGACCCTTTTTTTTATCAAACTTGACTTGGGACAAGGGCTCTATACAATATTGACATAATGCTGAACAAGGACATAGTAGCATAATATTTTTGGAGGGGCTAAGATGAAAAGTAGGCTTTTAAAAAAATAAAAAGTGAGCTGGTATGCATTGTGCTTCTCTAATGTAATAAGAATTTAGAAAAGCATTATTGATGGGTTGCAAGCATTCCCAAGAAAGTCAAAAGACAAAAGCATGGTGGCCATTGTGGTGCCATTACAGTAGATTGGATGCTAATGAAAAATCTTTGTTAAATGGCACCAACATGATGCAACATGCAATTAAAGAACCATAAAATTAATGGTAAATTTCAAAAACTAATTTCTCAGTGGGTGGGGGATATAGCTATACAGCTTCCCTGGCTCCTACCTTCCTGTTGAAAGAGAAAGAATATCCATCCAACAGAAAATAGAAAAATGTTATTAACTTTTCTTCTTTCATTACAGGAGAAAAGCAAAATGGTTGTGTGCAGGTAAGTTAGAGCCATTATTATTAACAATGCAGGATTCAGTAATAGATAAATATTAATCAGTTATTAGACTAAGCTGGGCCAAATGCCATGGTTGCCAAGCTCAACAGCTTTGTTTGTACATGTAGAATATTGTTCAAACATGTGTTTACATCATTTTACAGTTGAGTCAATCTTGAATCAATATTGGTTATAGAAAGATGTGATTCTAAAATATATTATTAAGATTTGATGATTTATTATTTATGTTTTGATCATTTATCATTTATAATAGTTTTTTTAATCAACCATAAATTTAATAAATTTTATGAATATCTATTAGTGCCCTTGCCCTTGCCCTTATACATGGATATAATCAAAGGTGCTTTACATTGAGTTGTGAATGACAGATTGCTTTTTCTTCTTTTTTTCTAAATAATACAGAAATGCTGATTAATGACTATTTGTACAATGACCAACCACGCTGGTAACGCAGCCAGAATATGAAATGTAGGGTATTCGTGAGGATCCCAGAGCGATATTTTTTCTCTATAGATAAGTTGAACTTTGATTTCGTTCAACTTATCTATAGAGAAAAAATATCGCTCTGGGATCCTCACGAATACCCTACATTTCATATTCTGGCTGCGTTACCAGCGTGGTTGGTCCTTGTAGTGTAGTGGTTAACACATCGGACTAGAATACCGAAGACGTGGGTTCGAATCCTGCCAAGGGCATTTGATATTTTTCTCTTATCCTCTCTACTTCATTATATACACACCGAACGCACAATTTATTACTACTATTTGTACAATGGTTTAGATTCTTAATTAACTCCTTTTTTTCAGATATGATTGGTACCAAATGGGTAATTCTGTTGTCCTGTCCATTTATGCTAAACTACCAGACCCTGAGCAATCAGTAATAGAGGCAAACAACACTCTGGTAAGTAATAAATGTTCTCATGTGCTTAAGGGTGGGCATGTAGTGGGTGTGCACTTGCCTCTCACTCTGAGGTCTTACGTTTTATATCTGTACTCAGAATCACATGTGAATAGAGCTTGTTGGGTCTCTTGGTTCTCTGGTTTTTCACTCTCCACAAAACCTGCTGTAACCAATGCTACAGTAAATCCCAATTCGATCCGTGAATAAGCCATACCCTGACTTAGATCAGGCGAAAGGTTGTTTCAGTATCAATGAAATTTGAAGGTTTCCTTTGATTTTGCTACAGTCATAACTATTTGTGTCCTTTTGCCTTCAGCTGAGTGTGAAACTAATCTTTGGTGGAGCTAATTCATTCAAACTGAACTTGAATCTTAATGGAGTAAGTAATCCTCTAACTGTACCATCCATTATATGGACCCGTCGTAGTTCATAAACATATTTTAATCTTTTTTTCCTTTTGTGGAATGTTTTCCAGGTAATTGAGCCTTCTAAAAGTTCTGTTCTTCTTTCCCCTACAAAAGTTGAAGTTAAATTGAGAAAAGCAGAACTAGGAGCATGGAATAGTCTTGAACTGAAAACAGAAACTAAGGGATAAAAATGTACAAAAATAAAACGGTCACATAAAGTTGTTGGAAAAAGATGCTACCACTTAATATTTTTATAAAGTAAAAAGTCTTGTTTTATCTATATCTGTTGTATGATAGGATATAGTGTGCTAGAGCTGACCTATGATTGGTATGACTGTATCATATAATAAGATATTTAGATTAGCCCTCAACCCTGAATGGGCCATGAGTCAACAGCCCATGCAGCTGAAGGCCGAATGTCGTATTGAGTCATAGGCTATAAGGGCAAGAGGACTAATTGTCTTAGTCAAATCCAACTAGTCGGTTAAATATCTAGATGCAAACAGTTGAATTAAAGTTAAATTTAATGTTTTGGTTTTCCAAGCTGGCACTTTTTGCTACTGGTAGGCTATAACTTGTAGCCTAGTAGTAGTTCATCCAATCGGAACCCAGCATTGATTATGAAACACTTGTTGGATTTGACTAAACTCAGTCATGATATCAAACAGATGTCAGATTAAGACTGTGCGATCCTATGTAATGTGATATGTTGCAGTCATAATAGTCATGCTATAAACAAAAATACAATACAAAAGATACTGAAGATCACAATTTGATAATCTAATCTATATGGAAATAACCCTTTTTTCTGCACATTTTCATTGTCCTTTTTTTTTTTCTAGTTGCAATATCCTTCTTGGCTTAACATGTGTCGAAATAGATTCAAGTTGTTCCAGAATTGGTTATTTTTTATTATGGAGGATATTTTTAATGTAGGAATTTCTTTATCTGTTTCGTATTTAAACGACCGGTAATTAATCAGATCAGTTAAGCCTTTGATGTTATTCTTGAGCTTTTCCATGATTCGGGTAAAATCATTTCCGCGAATGTTTTTACTGTTTCTTGGCATGGCACTTTGCGATAAGTAAGAGCACATGAAAAACACTGTCTAACATGAAACCTTTCTTTTTGCCTTTTTTATCAGCCCTTTTTTTGAAATATTTTGCTTATCATTATTTCATTGTAAATAACAACTTTATTATTGATGTTTTTCATGCACTGGTGAGACAATGGAACACCGGGTCTTTCACCTGAACATTCTAGAATACGAAAAGGAATTAGATCGCGACGACTGGTTTTCTCGTAGTTATTATCAATAGGATTGACCCCGAATGATAGCACATGGTCTGGTAAGCTTGGGGCATTTAATGTACGATTACTTATAACGTTCATTGCATCCAGCATTCTCCATAAATACTTGCTCATTTTTTTCATGCATTCTTCAAGAATCTTATTTTTGCAGTTATTGTATTCCTTGATAGCTTCTCCCCAGTTCTCTATCATAGATACCAACAGATCGTTGTTGCGCAGGTTGATAGTCTTGTATTGTAAGATCCCCATTTGTTGACCTCCTACGATATGGCGTATTGCCCCACGCGTGTGATAAGCTTGGGCGGCATAAAATAGTGCTCTAGCTAGATTATCTGTTGAGAGTGATAAAGAACACCATATTCAAGTACAACTCTTTACCTAGGGCGCGATGTTGAATTGACCATTTCAGACAACATGCATGTTATTTCCTTGGTAATAAAATGTGTCTTCTCATGCACAACCATTAAATAACAAAATGATACTCTAGGGAATGACACGTCTGAAATGGGAAAACATGACCATGAGAAGAGGTACTTTGATCAAATGGTAATTTACGACCAGGGACGTCGGAGCGTTGTTTAAAACGTGACGTGCAAGGAGATGCGCAAGTTTAGTGTAGAAAAGTTGGGGGGAGGATACGATACAACTGTTATACCAACCTAAGTTTCTCTTTGTATGGTAATAACCTCCAAGATCAGACATTGCTTTTACGAGTTCTTCATACTTGCTATTATGTAATCTTTGTAAGTCTTGGATATCTCTCATATCTGTCTCGGTGTTAAGCAGTTCAAACTCATTCATCCACTTTTCCAAATCACTTGGGTCTTCAAGATTTTCCTTGGTGGTTTCCACTAGTTGTTTGGCAAACTCTTCGTTATATTTGAAGACTTTGTAATAAGAACTTGCTAGTTCCTGCATCTTGTAGCTCGTACTATTTTCTTCACGTACAACGTCACGTACAAATTCATTTGGCAGTCCTGAAAACATTAGTGGCATCGCGTACTCCAAGGTAAAAGCATAGACGTTAGTGTCGAACACAGTTTGTGAAGGTTTTCTAAAGACATCTTGGATGTACCTGTTAAACTGATTGGTTACTGTCCCTGAATCTTTTCCTATGAGTGCAACATCATAGTCGGATGTACATTTACTAGACCCATAAGGTGCAGGATAACAAACTGAACGAGGGATAACATACGAGCCTCCTATTTTTCTACACGGTACCAACTTTTTATCACTAGTTAACCACAAAATGTGTGTCACCAAAACGTATCTTGCAGCGGTGACATACAATAGTTCAGTACAATCACCCTTAGTTCTCCTGTATTTCAGATTGGTTCTGGTCGTCTCCCAGTTATCATTTCTCTTGAAGAATTCTTTGATCCTCTCAGCATCAGCTCCAAATGACGGATCTGCAAGAATCTCACTCGTAAACACAGGCATATCTTCGTTTTTCCATTCATCTTTGTTGTCTGTCTTTTTAAAGCCGTATTTGTCAGCAATATTTGTTTTAAACCATCGTAGATCCTGAGCGTCTTGTTCTATATCTTTGCTAGACCTTAATGCATTAATATTTATTAGTTTAATAGCTTGTACGAATTATTGCTTCAACAGATAGTGGCCATGATTATGTACTGTACGTTGGTTGATAGAATATATAACTAGATTAAACACTTATACTTACATGAAACCTTGTTTGTCATAGAACATTAAGCCATCACGAAAACGTTGCTTTTCGTTGAAACTAAGATGTCTGTCATCAGGATGTTTTTTTATCGGCACCTGTAATAACCCCTACATTAGATAATGGTTACTAATGCTCCATGCAATGTCAAGAACACTAAAAACTGAGTGTATGGTGAAAACTAGTACGAAGAAGCCTACTGAATTTGGAGCACCGAAAGGACTTGAATTCTTTTAATTGATATTTACTTAATTATAAGAGCCGCTTCTTTCTTATCCCGCCCGCGCCTTGACATATGCTAGTACATTCGTTCTTGTCTATTAGTGACCAAGATAACTAATGTCTGAAATAATATATAACGATTACAGTTGTTTCTTACCACAGATGTGATGGTCATAATAGTTGCCAATAAACCAATGATGATCTTCATCTTGACTGACTGGAAAATCAAATGACATCCGTTATACCTTCACCAGCCAGTCCTTAGTCTCAGCGTAGAAAAGCGATGTCATATCTAATACATATAAAATTTTAAACATATATTTTGTTTCCAAAGCATTCGTTCTTCTCATTATCTATTTATTTAAGCATACTTTTTATCAATACTATTTTTCAAACATCAACAGTCATTCTATTTTCCAGCTTTACGTTTCGGAAACCTGGAGCTTCAAAAGGACGCAAAAATGTTGATGAACATTTATAATTTATTATCAATAGCATTTTAGTTCAATCAAAGCGGTTTGTAAACGTGTTGAGATCATATCAAATAGTTTCTTGTATTTGCGTCAATTAAAGATGCATGACGGTTGTACGTTCCTTGATCTCACGCGAAAAGAGGTTGTCATACGACTAGTTAGTCTGGGTTCAATATATTTTTTGTTACTGTTTGTTGGTATTGTTGTTGGCTTTAGAAGATTCGGTCTTTTTACTGTGAGGGACAAAAACGCAGCTTCAAGATTCACAATCATCTTGTGGTTTTATGAATAGGTGGACAGGCTATAGCCTATCTTTCCTCGTGGTTTCATGATTTGATGGCAGTTTGTTACTGAACACTGAATGAGTAAATGATAACTAGAGGCATACTTACCGTGTGCTGTTGAAGCAAGAACTCCCTTTTCAGTCCTCTAAGCTAACCGTGTCCATCTTCCGGTCACGCCGACCGCCGTTCAGTAATAAGTGTGTGTATAAGTGTGCACTTTAGACAAACTCGATTAGCTTCCTGTCTGACCAATATCTACAGGTATCTCAAGCATCCCGGCCTCAACTACCGACAAAACAACTGACGAAGTCTCTTAAAAGTCAATGATTTATGCTAAATTAAAGTATGCAAGTAATTCTGATATCGCTGCCTCAACATATTGGAAATTAATGGGGTGTATTATCCTTTATTGTATCTTTATGGATGTACAACCGTGTTTGTTTATTAGTACAGTTACTTCAAAACATCAAAGAGACGTCAACAGGTGGTATTTACAAGACAATAGACACGTGCGTATGTAAGTGCTTTCCTCCCCCACCCCCCCCNCCCCCGCCAGGTTTTTTCGTGTTACAAGTTACGCTTTAGTGACTTTGATACGCAGGGGTTTGGCTAGTTACTGCAGCTACAAAAGAATACAACGTACTTTATACGATGAATCTATTGCAAACATCACTTAGCGACTACACTTGAGCGCGCGACTTGTGGTCTCATACCCTTTGTGTTTTCGTAAGTGTGTATACATATACTGATATATGCTTTTGATATACTTGTATATTTATATGAACGTTTCAAAGTTTTTGTATATGGCCGTATATATATACATATCAAGTGTACAAATAGACTCGTTTCCAAAAATTTTGAGAATTATTGGATATATATATATATACATATATACTGATATATATGTATCTTCCTTTTACGGAACTGTTCTTTTGTTCCCATGATCCTCAACGGAACACCCACTTAACAATATCTGGATTTACATGTGTGTATAAGGCAAGAAGGACTGGTTTGTTGCTAAGTCGCGCATGGCTACCATGCACCAGCCCGTTGGGTTCCTAAACCAATCAGATGGAAATTGCATTCATTTTCCTTATGAATCAATACGGGGTGAACAGGTGAAATTCAGGAACTGGGAAAATAATGTTTGAGTTCTATGCATGGGCTCAATTCTTTTTTCAGATAATGATAGCGGGGAAACGACCAGCTATGGTTATGGTGTCAGCGCTGCCCAATATTCTTCTACCATGATGGGCTTCCTTTGGTAAAAAAGATGCGAGCGAGAAGACTGGTTCGATTTAAAACAAACATGGCGGACGAGCTGTGTTCAAATTTTTGGCTTGAAAAATGTCTTTCTCTGTGAGGATTGTGAACGCAGATCTATACACTGCAGCACCATTACCAGGTTTTGATAGTATCTATTCTAGTTTTCGTGAAAGCAAGGTGATCAAAGTCCCTGTGATTCGTGTGTTTGGCTCAACACCAAATGGTCAAAAGACATGTCTTCATGTGCATGGAGTCTTCCCATATATCTACATCCCTTATGATGGCTCTCAGCCAACTGATTATTACCTCAAACAATTTGCTACAAGTGTGGACTTTGCAGTTCATGTTTCTTTGGGCAAAGCTTCATCATCAACTCGTCACATACATGACATAGTCATAGTGAAAGCAAGGTAAGCTACACGTCTAGCTTCGGAGTGGCTATTCGTACGTGAAAGATGTTGGTAAATATTCGCTGAACCAACTCCCGTACGAATAACAATCGCGAATAATTCGTACGGGAGTGACTCAGACTACATTGTCGCAAAAGTGAGTTGCTCGCTACTGAGTACAGACTCGTCAAATAAGTTTGAATCAAAATAACATCACTGACATGAATCGTCTAACTGGTCTAAACAAAAATATAGTTATTACGTTGGAAAAGAGAAAATCGACTCCCGTACGAATAGCAAATACAAGTCGCCGTACGGGCCGTACTGGTGACGTACGAATAGCCACTCCGAAACTCATTTTTTAAGCTAAACTGTTGAATTATGAATATTACACATGCTCAATGACAAAATTGCTTTACACAGACCGTTTTATGGTTATCATGAAGAGGAGAGAGAGTTCATGAAAATTTCTTTTTACAATCCTTTCATTGTTCCAAGGTAAGAATTATAATGGAACTGATATTCAACACGATAATGTTTATGTGCTTCATGGTGTCAATCAGCTGATCGTATCCCATTACCAGTCTACAATGACAGGCACTGCCCCTCATGTGATATCAACCAGAGGGAATTTAATTGCTTGATCTTGTCAATCAGCTGAATGAATCCGATTACCAGGCTATGATGACAGGTGAACAATGCACTTTATATCCTATCAACTAGAATTATGTTTAAATCATGTTGGCTCAGCTGGAATCTTATTTTTTTCAATAAAAGGGCCTCCAGCTAATCTTAAGTTCAGACATGCAGTGTCAAATGTTTTAATATGCAGTACTAATGATGAAAATGCATTAAAATCAAATGAAAAGCCAGTCTCGTATTATTAATTTTGGTATCTTATTTTTGGTATGTTTGTAATGCATATTCAGAGTAGTGAGTTTGCTTCAAAATGGTGCTATTATGAATAAAGTGTTCCAGCCTCATGAGTCTCACATTCCCTACATTCAGCAGGTCAGTTGATTATTTTATTCATAAAGTTTAATAGTTTTGAGTTTCTCGGCACATGGTTTTTTCACATTCTTATTAATTCTTGTTATTGACTTGTAGATGTTTATTGATTACAATCTTTATGGAATGAATTTACTCAATGCATCTTCAGTTAAGTTTAGACAACCACTCACACTAAAACCAGGTAATTCATAATTGTATGTTGAGAATGTTGAAATAAAAAAGAACAAAGGATGAATTTAAAAAAAGGGATAATCTAGGGGTGAAGCATAGGGATGAGGTGGAAGAACTGAGTCAATTTGATAGATAGAGAACTACTACGGAGGAAGGTGGAGCACAGAGATGAAGTGAATGAAGGTTGGTGCATAGGGATGAGATGGAAGAACCTAGACCATTTGATAGATAGAGAAGGTGGAGGAAGGTGGAGCACAGAGATGAAGTGAATGAAGGTTGGTGCATAGGGATGAGATGGAAGAACTTAGACAGTTTGATAGATAGAGAAGGTGGAGGAATGTG